GTGTCTCCATATATCGAGAACGTTGTTAGTCGAGCAGCCCAATGGCGACGGAGTAAAAAAATTCCGATATGTGCCTATCTGGTACTGGTTGGTACGGTCCTTCCAGTACCGGTAGTACCGTGTTGCCCAACAGCTCACTCCTCCCGCTGGTAGGTGGGTGAGAGACGTGGGGCTCGAGGAGGGGGGGGGGTTCTCGTCGTCGGAACGAGACCGACGTTAAAAACAGGGCACGGATGGATCTGGTAATCATGGGGATATATGGGTGGGTGGGGGGGCAGTGGGGGGCAGTGGGCCTTTGCCTGCTTTTGGGTTCTTCTGGCGCGCCCCATCCCTCGGCCTGCCTCGGTTTACAGATGTGTACGTACGGCATGTACGGCAGGGTGGGTGGATCCTGCCTCCACACCCTCTCACGGGTAACGCGTGTCCCAACAAAAGCCGCTTGTTGGGAACAACTGGGAACAAGAATGGAACCGCCAGAGAGGATTTATTCTTTTTATGTCTTAACGTCGTCGTGCAGCATCAGTATCATATGCATTCCGCCGCATTCGCAAGAAGGATTTTCAACAGCTGTTACACCAAACTCCAAAACGTCATCACCTCCTCCACTGTCTCAGCCCGCCGCAGCAGTACGAACTCGTACTCGCCGTACACACGTACACTACCGCTGCCGGCACCGTCCGCTGTCCATGCCGCCGGCCGTACAAACCCGCAATCCTCCTCCTCCTCCTGCTGCGTCACCCCGTCGCTGACCCCCGACACTGGCGGCGACCCTGGCGTCTCAATTGCCGTACCGTCCTTCGCCGTCGCATCCTTCTCCACAAGCCCTCGCCGCCGCCGCTGTTGCCGCCACTGGTGGTCCGGTAGCAGCCGACGGAAGCCCCACACCGCCGGCGAGCAGCGGCTGTTGTACCTGCTGTACATGGACAGGCAGTACGCGCCGACGTCAGGTACGACAACCCAGTCGCCTGGGTACGCCGGCGGCAGCGGCACCGCCTCCGCCAGCCGATCCCCTTGAAAGCAAAGCGGACCGACCACATCCGTTGGGGCTACTGCCGCCGCCTCCGAATCCGCTGCATCTTCTGACGCCGCCGCCGCTGCTACTGCTGCTGCTGCTGTTACTGCTACTGCTGAGTCATGGAAACTTTGGAGTTCCGGCCTCAATTCCGTACATGACGGCGGCAGTGGTGGGTATTTACGCCGGCCGTCAATGCCGTACAGCTCCACTCGTACTGGCCATGTCTCAGGCAGGTAGACAGCACGCAGCAGTAGATCGCCCCCCAGCCCCGAAACCACAACCCGGCGGCCCCCGCAGCGCTTGCTGTACTCCACTCGCCCGACGGCGAACACAGATTTGGCCACCAGACAACGGCCAAACTCTGTCACCAGCTGCGGCGGGGGTGGCGGCGCCGCCGCCGCTGCCGTGGGGTGTTCAGCAGCGTCGACGTCGGCGGAAAACAGGGCCGGAATCCGCTGCCTCAGCAGTACGGCGTAGCGCTCGAATATGCTGCTGAAGTTCCCGGCCGCCGCCGCCGCCGCCGCCGCCGCCGCCGCCGCCGCCGCCGGCGCGGTGATGCGATCCCGGGCATCATCATCCGACGGCACTGCCGGCGGCGAGCCTAGCAGCCAGCTGAGGTCATCATTGTCGTCGTACTGTACGGGCAAGCCGCCGCCAATATCAAACGCAAGAATCCGTCCGGCGCCGCGACCGCCGCCTGCTCCGCCGCCGCCGCTGCCAGAAGACGCCGCTGCCTCCACCTCCGCCGCCAGGTGGGCGACCCGCGCGATGCCTTCGATCGCGAGCTCCGGAGGCACCCCCTGGATAGTACGGCAGTGGAGAGACATACACACACACATACCGACATACACACACGATGGGGATGTGTATCAATGCGGCAGTAGCACTAGTACGAGCTGATATGTAATGCACAACCCTTCTCCCCCCCTCCCCCCACACGAATCCATCCTTGCCAGCTCCTGCTCGCGGCTCAGATCACTAAAACACACATACATACGCACATACATACATGGACACACACACCACATGTACCTGCGACCCCACGTGCACATGCAGCGCATTGATCCATGGATGCTTCTCGAAGGCCGCCAAAAGCTCCGAGCGGCACTCCAGGAGGGGGGTGCCAAATTTGGAAACACGGCCAGCAGTGGAGAGCGCCGCGATGCGGCCCTCACCTACCTGCACGTGGCGGTTGGGCAAGTTGGTTAAGTTTGTTGGAGGTTGCGGTTGGTGCAGCGGGTGAATTGGTTGGAGACGGTTTGACGGCGGTTGCCGGTGCCATTCCCCTCCCAACGGTTACCCTGGGGGCAGTCTCCGGGTTGTGCTTGTACGACAATGTGGCTGTTTGGGTTTGGGGGTTTTTAGGATTTCCGGAGCGGCGTGCTGTCCTCTGTTGTGGAGGAGTGGGGTTGGGAGTTGAAGCCGTTGGATACGGTTGGGGCCGTGTTCACGACAAGAACGAGGCAACGGTTGTGTCAGTTGTTGTGGCAGGCGGTTAGGGTATTCATACAAACGGCAATACACATACATACATATATACATACAAATCCACGCACATCTACCTGGGGATTAATCCGCAGTCCAATTAGCCGTGGAGCTTTCGTCGCATTTGTCGTACTACCGTCCGCCGTACTACCGTACAGCAGGTGTGGTTCTGCCGCCACAAGGTCCGCCACGCGTTGTAGCTCCTGCGTGTGTGTATGTATGTGTGTATGTATGTGTGTGTGTATGTATGTATGTATGTGTGTGCGTGTTTCGGTGGAAGGGGGCCCCCCCCGGGATCAAGGTGTATTCGACGAAGGGAAACCTGTTTGCATATGTGATATGTGAGCGGGGGGTTGCATGCGGGTGCGTGTGGCGGCGGTGGTGGGGAGGAGGAGGGGCAGGAGGAGGGGGGAGGGGGGAGGAGGAGGGGAGGAAGGAGGAGGAGAGGGAGGAGGAGGGGAGGAAGGAGGAGGGGAGGAAGACGCGGTGGCGTGTGTACCTGATTGGGTCGGGGGTAACAGGAGAGATCCTTCGGGTTTACCTCCCCCTTCACCGCCCTCTCTCAGCCC